TGAGGAACTTGTCTCCTTTGAAATACCTCCTGAAATTGATTTAACAGCCCCTGATTTTCAAAATGATGAATATACAAAACTAATAGATACGGTTACTAATAAAAAAGACACCCTGCCAGACATACTTTTATCAGATGATAACTTAGTTTACAAGCGTTCACAATTTCGACAAGGTAGCGAAGAAGAAAGCAGTTTGTGGCGTCTGTGGGTTCCGAGCTCATTGTCTGAAAAACTAATAAAAGCTTCCCATGATTCGGTTTTATGTTGCCACGGTGGTTTTACAAAAACACTTGCAAGAATTCGGCAAAAATATTTTTGGCCCACTATGGTCAATGACATTAAGTCATATGTAAAAAATTGTGAAAAATGTAAAACTATGAAATCTCAAAATCAAATCTCTAAGCCTCCAATGGGTAATCAATTCATTACAAGTCGTCCTTTCGAGAGATTATATTGCGACTTTTTAGGTCCTTACCCCTATACGAAAGTTAAGAATTCTATGATATTTGTTTGCTTAGACCATTTAACAAAATTTCTATTTTTGAAACCCTTAAAAGCTGCGACAACTGCTAATGTTGTATCATATTTTCAGAATGAAATTTTCCCCACATTCGGCGTGCCAAGGGTTGTGCACAGTGATAATGGGAAACAATTTGTTTCAAAAGAAATGAGCGAGTTTTTTGACTTATATGATATTGAACATGTTAAAACAGGGTTCTACGCACCGCAATCTAATGCGTCAGAACGAGCAAATAGAGAAATCATAACGAAGATTCGATATTTTTTAGAAAATCACAAAGATCATGCTGATTGGGATAAGTTTATTCCACAGATTTTGTCTATTTTGCGCAGTGATTATCACTCCTCAATTAAATGCTCTCCATACTATGCCGCTTTCGGGCAGAACATGGTACAGCATGGTTCTTCATACAAAATTTTGAGCAAAATAGGTTGTATGACTGGAGAAGATTGTACAATTTTTGAAAACGCTGATAAATTGCAAAAGATAAGGAGCAATATTAGGGACAACTTGGACATAGCTCACGAAAAGGCAAGTAAATCATATAATCTAAGAACTAGACCAATCCAATTCGAAAAGGGACAGATAGTTTTTCGCAAAAATCATGTACTGAGCAATATGTCCAAAGCTGTGAACAAGAAATTCTTTCCGAAATTTATCAAATGCAAGATAAGGGAGAAGATTGGCAACAATCTGTATGACGTCGACGACCTAAAAGGGTCTTATGTTGGACGCTACCACGCCTCCGACCTTAAGTCATAAAATTTGCCCGGCTTATCGTGGGTCGAGCCACACTTTTAGTGATCTTCAAAATTTACCTTCTTGAGATACAAAAATCTTTTCCTGTTCGTCAATTGATATAAAATCAACGGACGAAGCAGGTTTGTAACGATTTTTTTACTTTTATTTCGCAAATACCAGAATTTTATAAAATATTTATAAATGTTCTTCAATTTCGTTTATGTACTGGAAACCCTAAATTATACTAGCTTACAATTTTGTATCTCATGCTATAAATATTTTTTTTGTACACTCTGAGTAGCTACATCATTATAATTGCTCATTAATTATGCGTGAGAAAGAGATAATTGTACAAATATAACAAATATTTAAAATATTTGAAATATTTAATACCGTTTACTTTTATTACGACTTAAAAAAAAACAAGCTTCAAGTTGTTTTGCAATCTTGGCATAAATCATTATGAATTTGAATTCCAAAAAGTAAAGTTGCAATTAGTCCCTAATAAATTATCAACCACATCCAGTGCAAGAATTAAAGTTATTTGTGAAAAATACAAGATTGGTTAAAATTTGTTAAAAATCAAAAGATCAAAAAATTCTTAAAATTTGTTTAAAGAACAAAAATTTGTTAATTTTTATACTAAAAAGTGTGTTAATAAGAAAATTATCAAAAGGTAATAACGCTATAAAAAATAACTAATTTTATATGCATTTCTTAATCAAATTAATAATTTCCCAATACAGGAACTAAAGAAATAGCTAATAAGCGTGTGGAGCTAAATTTCCCTACGCTAAGAAAAGTTCCCAAACGAACAATTCCTTACGTAACACATCTGCCAAGTTAACGTAGCCACTGGTATTTTGCCCATAAAAAGTTCCCAACATTTCATAAAATCAGAATAGTTTAATTCAGATTTACATAACCAACGCGGAAAGTTCTGGAACAAATCGTTGCATAACCAGCCCACATGACCTGCTCATTTGCCAGAACGTGTCTGATCATATCTTACATAAGAGAACCAGTTCAGTTTTATGGTCATCTTCAAAAATTTGCTATATTTGAGTATAAAAAAAAACACACATTTGGAAATAAGCATATAATAGTATATTAATCTAACTAATTTAATATACATATATTATTCTTAAACATTGAACTATAAATTATTAACATCCGATGAATTACTATTAATAACTATAACAAATATTATTTACCAAGAATCTATATAGAAAATATCAGTTTATACAGTATAAAAATCTAAATTTATTGATACATAAATATGTATGACTTATAATTTTCATAAATTTAAAAAAAAAAGTATAAATATGGTAATGAAATTTTAACAGCATAATTATCTAATTTGTCTAAATATCAAAAATTAAAACTAAATATTAAACTATTTTTTTTATAATTTAATTAAATCTACATATATTATATATTTCCTTAAAAATATTCAATATAATTAAATATTAATGTAATAACTCTACTAATATTTAAGAATTTTCTATTTTACTTGTTTTCTAAATAATATTTTTTTCGTATGGCTAACCCTACATAATAAGTACATTTTTTTTCTTCTTTACTTATTTTTTTTAAAAGTATCTTAAGTTGAGAGCAATTACATATTATTATGATTTTTCTTTAGCTAGTATTTTCCAAATCAGTCAGCTTATTCCTCTTCATTCCTTGCTGGGCCCATCATTGGAAACGAAATCGAATCGAAACATTAAAAGAGGTATATTTCTACAACAACATGATTTGTAAGTAAAAATCATAATAATTACTCTTACTCTTAATTTTTGCATTATATTTTATTTAAATTATATCTCATTCCATTGCATTCCGCTATTTTTCAAAGTGCAATGAGATTTTGTTTATTATTTTTTTTGCTTTACTTCTTTTCTTATTTTATTACTTTGTAAAATCTTATAAGTAAAACATTCGTTTAAAAGAATGAATTCCTCAAATAGCTAAATATTTAAATAAGATTTTTCGTTTCTACTTATACATATAAATGAATGTTAAACTAGAATATAAATTAAACAAAGAAATATTTTTCCTAATAAAGTTTGATTTAATTATTTGAATTAAAATAATGATTTGCTAAAGTTTTCTAAATTATGGGAATGACAAATGATTTCAAATCTAAATAGGATAGGATAGTGTAAGCTATTTAGGGACAATCGTGGAATATTTAGGGTGTATAGAATGTCATTGGTGTTTTATAGCATATAAAACGGGAGGGAAAAGTGCACCCCTTATGGCCAACATCTTGCCTGACTATATTTGTTTATTTACTTTAATTATACTTTGGTGGCATATGAAGTATAATTATATGTATACGCGTGTAAAATTGGGTTAAGAACTACACAACCACTTCCTTTAGCTAGCTGGGAATTTAACATCGTTTATGCCTCATAACTTTAATTTTAATAGGGATTTTCTGAAACTCTTGTCAAAACAAATATTGAAGATCTAAGCCGCGCGTTACAAACTTTTTATTTCCATAATGGCATGGTTGGGTACAAAAAGCTAGTTGTATATAGTGCTAGAAATAGCTTCCTTTAATTATTAGGATTTTTTTCACAATAATATTTTGAAATCTAAAATTGAAAATTTCCGTTTTAAACATTTGTTTGCCACCGCATATTTACATTCACAACTTCCATCATTAGCCATTTACAACTAGGGTGGTCATGTTTATGCAGCTATTACTTTAATTTCGAAATTATTTTTGTAAAGTAGAAAATATATAAAACTGCAACTAGTGATTATTTAAATTGCTGTGGCAAACATGGTTTTAATGGAAAGTGCGTGCAGAGTAATGTTTATGTGTGTGGGCAACCTTTTTAAAATTTGAATTTGGAAGGAAATTATTTTTAAATAGAAGTTTAGGAAACAATTTAAAATAACGTAACATTTAAATGTTGGTTTTTATCATAGAATTTGTATCAGTTTTAAACTTATTACTAACTAACAACACTTGCTGTGAATAAAAAGCAACAAATAGTGGTTATTGCTTTTAATTTGTCAACATTAAAAATGCCTCTGTTCGGTTGCAACACCAGTTGCAGCAGCAAACAACTAACATTAAAAAATCAAGATTTATTGGTTTTATGTTTTTTCATCATAATTGTCATGAAATACATACGTACATACACATCATACATACTTAAATGAATAATATTGTTAATTTGTTACTAGCACTACATGTCGTATGAGTTATTAATTTCTATAATATATTACTTATCAAGTATACGTTATGAAGTGCAATCCTGCTTTTGCCACTTGCAATTTTTTGCCAATAGTGAATCCAAATCGTTTTCCTCTTTTTATACAGATTAGAAACAGGTTAAAGCTATTTTTAAATAACTACAGTTTTGTTAATAACTTATTTTGCACTAATATGTATATTAACTCTTCAAGATGGGAAGTCAAATTTCAGGTCATTTTTCGAGTTACTAATTTGATCAGCAAATTATTAAGAATCATAAATTTCTGTACAATATTCTTAAAAATTTACACAAATTAAAAGCACTTTCAAATTTGTTTAAAATTTCATTATAAAAACCAGATGTTTAAATAAAAATTATGTAATGTGTTTTAATAAGAACATCGAATCTCTTTTATAAACGAACAACAAATAACAGAACAGAAAAAGTTGTTATTTTGTTTACAATTCACGTTCACCTTTACCGCTCATTCAATTTAAACTATTCTTTAACATATAACAAAACATTTAACCGAAAAAATCTGGTAAACATAAAAATAAGAAAAGTTAAAACTTTATTTCCAAAGTTTATAAGAAATTCTAGTCGTTATGGTGATGGTAAATATTATTGACATTTTTCGAACAAGTGACTACAAAAAGTCTCAAAAAATCTATTTCACTGTTTTTAAGATCACTAGAAACTGCACCCGAATTATTTTTAATCAAAACAAACAAATCAGATATATATTTTTGCTTTGTGTGGGAACGTGGAATTGTTTTGGTTTAATTTTTAGGCTAAACTTTCCTTTTAATGTAAATTCGGAAAACAAGTGTTGCTAGCGAATAATAAAATGCTCACATGTAATTTTTGCAAAAGAAATTTATCAACAATTCACAAGATTTATTCAATTCGTTCGTCTATGTCTTCAATATGTTGAACATACACAAACACTTTTACTTAATACACCCTGTAACAATTTTGAAAAAAAGAACTTTCACACATAGAAAATTTGATATGCATGTGAAACTAGAGCCCATTTAGAGCAATTCTTCATACTCCGATTTTTATAGTCAGCTCATATATCCTTACAAAAGGACTTACAATTTTAAACGGATATTTTAAATATTAATACACGCAAAGAAAAAACATGGTTGTACATTTTCATTGCGATCAAAATATTTTCCTAAATGTCTCATATGACTATTACAATAAAACCTTAATTTATATAACCATTTAACATATCATATTATAAAATTACATGATCCTCAATTATGAAATTTATTTTATTTTGCTACCAAACATTTGAAATTATTCCTATAAAAATTAATTTATTTGTCAAATTTGTAAACATATTTTAATTAAAATTTACTCTTTTAAAGAGTAAACAGTGTGTGTGTTCTCAAATTAATTTAATATTAAAAATAAAAATTAAATAAAAACAAAATATATGTTATTAAAGGTAAGTATAAATGTGAATTTAGAATAGCAATTGCGTTTCCTATTCCTTTCATTTGTTTAGTTAAATATACTTAAAAGGGCACCTTTTCTTATTTGAAGAAAAAAAAAAAAAATAGATGTATATTTGAGTTTAAATGACATTTTTACTGTGACGTCATTGTTAAAACAAAAAAAAGTTGAAGATCAAATTTGTATTGCTTACTGTTTCTATATATTTTCAATATTAAACTTTCAATATTTATACGAATCATTTAATTTTTGAAGGTACAACATCATTGTTGAATATGCCATTTTTCTCTCTAAAACGCCACAGAGCGTCATTTGATAATAAGAACTTGAAGATTAAAGAAGTGTAAGAAACAAGTAATTGAAATTAAAATAAAAAACTAATTGAATTAAAAAAAAAATACATTTTATTATAAAACTATGTGAGTGTAAAATATAAAAAGTGATTATTTAATTTATAAAGTATAAGAAATTTTCTATTTTTACATATTTTATAATTTTTCTTTTTAATTGTTGTAAACATATCTTTTTTGTGAAATGTCACAAAATTATTTTTTTTCGTCAACGAGTAATTCTAATTTGGATGTATTTTTCGTGTTCGCAGAACAAAAGAATCGTATACCAAACTCTACACCGTTTGATCACCTTTCATCAGTTTTTAGCAGAAGTACCACTTAACTAGGAATAGGTATATCGACATTACAAATGTTAGCAGATCTTCCATCAATATATGTAAGTAATAATGTACGTATAAATTACGTAATTAAAATCATATTGATTTTTCTAGGATATTCTTCAATTTATACTGGCTGATGGAAAATTGTAATTTTGATTTATTGTTATTTTAATTAAAATAATTTTTTGTTGGTAATAAAATGATTCCCTTAAATATTTGATGTTATTAATGGGGATAATATAATGGTAAATTAAAGAACAAATTAAGGTATTGTAGGAATCATATTATAATTGTTATAGGAACAATAATATGTTAACTTATGACAACCTACAAGAATCATATTATGATCTCCAAAGGGAAGTATTTTATATGATTGTCCTAATTATAATTCCAAACATTAATGATAGTTTCAGTTTATGGTAGCCCTAACCATATTTCTTCTTTGCGTGTATGTACTATACGATACTAATATTAGTATCAAATGAAAGCTGGAAATCTGTAGATACTATCTATATTATATTTATTGAACTCATTTACATAAAAAATCGAAAAATAAATGCTCTCATTTTGAAAACAAAAATGTTAAACTACTTCTTTTGCGACAAATTTTCTTTAAGCTTCAATATTTTTTTTTAATCCTGATGGATTTAAATGAATAACATTACTTTGAAGTAGAGGTTCTCAGCTTCATTTGATATTAATATTAATACCAAATTTTTTCTAAAAATTTGTAATTTCATCTTTTGAAATTGTCTTTAAACCTTAGAGTTTATGATTTCTTGGCCACACACAAAAAATGGGAGAGTAAAATAAACAAATAAATGCTATTTATACATCTTATCAGATCTTAACGAATTTAGTTTATAAATAAAAATAAATGATACAGTCTAATAAGGTTAAATGCTTTTTAACTTAATCGTCTATTAGCAAAAGTAATGGAATTTTTATTTAATAATGAGGAAATCAGGAAGAATCTTGAATATGGGAAAGTATTCATTTATGTACTAACTTATTAGACAAGTTAATACTTGTACCTCTCCTTGTACTCAAAATAAAGTACTTGCTTATCTGATTATGAGCTTCAGACAACAAATGAAATCTTTCGAGTAATTGATATCAAAACATCAAAACATTAGTGATCATGATCATTTCATATCATACATCTGTAAAGAGTATATTTAAAATGTTTCATTGGTTCAATATAAGGATTTAATTGAAAAGAGCGTTTATTTTGAATTTAACAGCAATTCTTATATATTTATGCTATTTAATGACAAACTGTTTGCTTAAAGAGGCTTTGTAGATGGGCTAAGATCAAATATGATCTGAAATACATACAGTTTAGAGAACAAATTTATTTATGTTTATATAGAATAGGTTTTGTACAAAAACAAATTATCGAATAGACACAGAAAATGATTCTAGGTCGATCGGTATACTTTATGTTGAGAGTATGATCAATATATTAAAATATTTTAAACATCAGCACACAGAAAAAAATATGCACATTTTTTTTCTTAACAATCGTTTGCTTAAATTTAATTTCGATTTTTATAAATATTTTTATTTGGGTTTATAACGAATTTGTTTGATGTTCACACAGAAGGAAAATATTTTCTAACAAACACTTTATTGAAATAAATTTAACTTTCAGTAAATATTTTTACTGATTCAATAAATGTTTTTGTTTGAGTTTTATTTTTATGTCAGCATATGGAATACAACAATAAAACCAGTTTTGGAATGTACTAAAATGAATTGATATAATTCTTATTTGGTTTATAACATTTAATGTATAAGTGTTTCAGTTTTCACAGTACAAAATAATAGTTTCTAGAATTAGAAACGTTTTCTTAAAAATGTTGTAAGTATATATGTAATTTTTTTACTACTTTTAGTTTAAATATTTTTTGTAAAATTTTTGTTAAAATTTAGTATATATTTTTTAAAAAAATTGTTATAGATTCAATAAAAAATTTTCTTATTATTATTGCCAAAATACAATAAATAATTTAACTGTTTCAGATAACATATTTGCTTGAATTTCAGTACAAATACTAATAACTTGTGTTATTGTTTCAGTAAAATAATTGTTTGGAAATGTTGCGATTATTTATTAATGTTTTTCGTAAATAGTATATTATTTTAATAAGAAAAATCCTGAAATTTTTTCAATAAAGAATTTACGAATTTGAGTACTTGATTTTACGAATTTCGTAATAGGTCCTATTTTAGTAAAAAAAATACTTGGCTTTATGAATTTTTTGTTTGATTTTGAATTCCATTTTTTTCTGTGCACAAACGAATAACACGATCCAGTATTAGTATTAGTGTAGAGTGTAAAGAGATCATAGCGGAAAATTTAAAATATTATTTGTGATACAGAGTATGTAAATTCAATAAATGTGTTTTGCTGCGAAATAATAATTTTACGATATTTGTATCATTCAATAATCAATAAATTTATCAATTTTAATTGCAATTTTTAGAGTTTATAAAGTAAAATAAATAAATAAATTTGTTAAAAATAGAATAAAATATAATTATTTATATTTACTTTGTTACATTGAATTTTAGATCTTAAAATAAAAACATCTTCTATATATTTATTTTATTTATCTCCAATGAAGTAAATTTGTTTATTTTGCATTTAATTAAGTTTATATTTTATTTATTTGTGTTATCGATGATTTACTGCACACAGAAAAAAATGGAATTCAAAATCAAACAAAAAATTCATAAAGACAAGTATTTTTTTTACTAAAATAGGACCTATCACGAAATTCGTAAAATCAAGTACTCAAATTCGTAAATTCTTTATTGAAAAAATTTCAGGATTTTTCTTATTAAAATAATATACTATTTACGAAAAACATTAATAAATATTCACAACATTTCCAAACAATTATTTTACTGAAACAATAACAAAAGTTATTAGTATTTGTACTGAAGTTCAAGTAAATATGTTATCTGAAACAGTTAAATTATTTGTTGTATTTTGGCAATAATAATAAGCAAAATTTTTTATTGAATCTATAAAAATTTTGTTAAAAAATATATACTAAATTTAAACAAAAATTTTACTAAAAAATTTAAAACTAAAATTTGTAAAAAATTACATATATACTTACAACATTTTTAAGAAAACGTTTCTAATTCTAGAAACTATTATTTTGTACTGTGAAAACTGAAACACTTATACATTAACTGTTATAAACCAAATAAGAATTATATCAATTCATTTTAGTACATTCCAAAACTGGTTTTATTGTTGTATTCCATATGCTGACATAAAAATAAAACTCAAACAAAATCATTTATAGAATCAATAAAAATATTTACTGAAAATTAAATTTATTTCAATAAAGTGTTTGTTAGAAAATATTTTCCTTCTGTGTGAATATCAAACAAATTCGTTATAAACCCAAATAAAAATATTTATAAAAATCGAAATTAAATTTAAGCAAACGATTGTTAAGAAAAAAAATGTGCATATTTTTTTCTGTGCAGTGCTAATTGAATTCAAGTCAAGGAAAATCAAAATATTCTAGAGCTCTTGAAAACGTTGTCTTCTTGCAGAATATTCAATATTTATACAATAAATCTGTAAAAATAAATATGAAGTCCAATTGCTCAGTATCTGTAGAATTAAATATATGTCTAGTATCTGTTTAATCTAATAAAATATGACCACGCTTTGGAAAGCATTGATCTCAGTCATGATGATTTATATAAGCTAAGGTGGACTGAAGATTTTATTATGTTACAGAGAATGCATTTCATTTACAAAATGGTTAAATTTGTGCTTAATTGACAATTGATCCACTGAATATGTACATTTCTCCAAACAGACAATAGAATTGAGCAATTGCAATTGTTTATCTCTTCTTAATTAAGTTTTTTGTGTTTTTTTTTTTTTTTGCAAATATAGAAAAATAACAATGAAATACATATATATAAATGTATTTATGTATAAAATGAATTCGGCAATAAAGTTGACAAAAGAAAAACCAAGATTGTTTTTGTATTAAATAAAATTTCTAACCTTTCTATATATTCAACAAGTAAGAGTTTTATATTCGGCTGTGCCGAATCTTTAATACCCACCATCAACATGGGTAATATATGAATATATTTTTAATAAAAATGAAGCATGTTGAAAATTTTTATTATATTTAGTTTTTATTAAAAAAATGAAATTAATAATATTATGAGTAATACTTATATACATATGTACATCATATATTTTATTATAATACTAGCAATAATACATTAATATTTATAATACTGTAAGTAATATATACATATGTATTAAAATTAACTTATGCTTAATTTAAAATTTTTTGTAAAAATCTAACAAAATAATAATTACAACTAATTAAACATCAAAAAATGTATTTACAAATATTTTGTTGTATTATTATAAGTAATATATATATATAATATATTTTACTATAATAGTTACAGACATTATAATTATTAATACTATATGTATTATACACATAATATACAATACCTTAGTATCACTCAACAAGTTATCAACGTCTTAAATTAACTAATACTAATTTACAATTTTCTTAAACAACTAACTAAAAATTACAACTGTATACAAACATTATATTACTTACGGAAAAACTAATATATTTTTTTAAAAATCTTATTATTTACAAACATTTCATATTACAATTATATACCTATTCCTATTCCGTCATGGTGACTATGTATTGTAGCGTACGTTGTGATTGATATGTTTCGTTTGAAATTTGCAAATACCCAATCAATCTGAGTTTCATGATTTGTTGTTGATTTTTTTTTGTCTAAAAGAGACATAAATCCCATCGTGTGAAGAATATTTTCAGTTTCATTATTAGTAGTTTTGCGACAAAGGTTGAAATCGCCAACCAAAATTATTTTATTATTCTCTGAAGAAAATCTACTTTTTAATTCATCAATCCCTTGAACCAACAATTGTCTAAATGTTCCTTCTGGAAATTCTATATTTTTGTATAAAATAAATATATAGAAATCCGTATAACGGAAGACAATATATTGGAATGTGTGATTTCCTCTTCTGTGGTCTTTTTTAAAGAGAAATTCAGATTGAGAAAGTTTGCTGCTTTTAATATATGATATAATACCTTTCCGGTTTCTATTACGTTCATCGCCTTTTATATTACAGTCTAGGCGACAGAGAACCAAGAAACCTGGAATTGTATACACTTCTTCTGGAAATGACCAAGTTTCAACAAAGCAGATAATGTCACAATTTAAAATGGTATTATCTGTTGTAATATCCAGATAATGAGCTTGTAAGCTTTGAATATTTTGATAAAATATTTTTAACTCAAACTCATCATTAATCATAAACTGATGCTTTAGTTGCAACATTTTCTCTGTGCGTAATCTTTCAAGCTCTAACTTTACTGGATCACTATCTTCAAATGGTCTTGGTGGGTTAAAATTTTCCATTATATACAATCCTGATGCCGTAGTTGCTCTACTACATGCAACGTATAATGCAGACCTCAACATTCTACCTCGCGTATGAACAACAACCTTGGAATACGTTGCTCCTTGACTTTTGTGTATAGTGATACCTTCTGCTACTACTAAAGGAAATTGTTTTCTCTCAATAGTAATTTGACGATTTTGTTTATACTGGAAGGTTCTTACACACTTTTCGATAGGAGTCCAAAGTGATTCTGTAGCATGAGGTTTCTTGCGTCGAGCTTCAACACCAACATTTTCGTCTGAGAAAAGCACCCAAAGTGTTGTTGGGTTTCTGGATTCTCCCTGAAAATCAATTTCCATTAAAACTCCGGATGCTCCATTGACAAGACCGTCATTGGTATTAATATTGACAGTCATCATATATTTGGCTGTTGTCTTTAATTTTAATTCAAAACACAACCCTTGGGTCTCGGAAGTTTTCATTTGACGAAAATGAACAGAATTCAATAAACTCCTTTTTCTTTGAGCAGATAAACAATCCGATTTTACTATATCGAATGATTTAGATGTAAATTCTTCGGTTGTTATTCTGCTTAATCTTAAAGCATTATGAAGTTCAGCTTCAGCATTAGATACAAAAAGATGAATTGCATCGGATGGTATATTATCACTAGAATTGACAACTCTGGATTGAATAAGTTCAATATTTTCTGTTGTCATTTGTCCCACAGCCATATTATTTAAAGCTTGTGCAAAACTTAAATCTTCCCTTTGTCGCATTATTTCCGTTAATTCATAAAATCTGAATAAGTCCCACAATGCACCTCCAGCAATCGTTCCATATGGATTTGAAGAATTTGAGCTAAAAATCCATTTATCTCCTACAGGTGGAAGTTGCTTCAGATCTCCGAATACCAAAATCGACATACCACCAAATGGTTGAGTAGTCTTGAAAATTTGCTTTAATCTTGAGTCAAGATATCCCAACATTCTTGACCCAACCATTGATATTTCATCAATTATAATGACTTTTAAATGCATAAATTTTGCAACTAAAGTGTTTACCATATCGCTACTTAAAGGTCGTACGTCACCAGAGAATTGGTTTATCGGCAAAGAGAATAGTGAATGTAGCGTATATCCTCCAATGCCAAACGCAGCCTTTCCAGTTGGCGCAGTTAACAACACCTTTGGTAAGTCGGGATTTGCGCCAGGAATAGAGTTTAATCTATGTGTAACAGATTGGTAAATAGTTTTAATTAATCTGCTTTTACCTACGCCAGCCCCTCCACCAATATATTCGTAAAAACACACACTTTCAACAACATTTTGTAATAAATGCTGAAGATACATGCGCTGTTTACAGTTAAGGCTACGAATTGAGGTTTGTAAATCCATTTCGCTGATCAACGGTGGCAAACGAATTAAGAGAATATCTTGGTTATGGTCAATACTGTCATTATGTATGTTATTTTCGATGTTAATAATGTTGACATTGTTATCGATTTCCGGAACAGCCAGTGCTCTAAACTCATCATCTAACAATTGAGTAGCTGCTGTGTTGTCATTAAGATTATTTTCAATATCATTTACCTCTGAATGAACTTGTTGAATAATTTCTTCTAGTTCACCCTCCTTAAAAATTTCAAATTGAACTCTGTTTTGCTCAATTGTTACTTTATGGATGTTGCAAGTTTCTTCATTATTATTGTCTAGAAGTTCTTCACGTTCATTTCTCCATGGCAAATAAAGCATCGCCAATGATCGAAAATAGTCTGATCTAGTCACATCGGCATTAAATGATGGAAATCGTATTATTGCAGCGTGTTTTCTTTTCGATACGTACCCTGAATTATTTCTTAACCGAAGGGGAATGCCAACTTCATCGGTTATTTCAATATCATCCTCAATATAGTCGTCCTCCCCTTCTTGATATCGGGTATTACGAATTGATTTCGAAAACTTGTAGTACGCTGCAAAATAGGCCAAACATATATCACTTAGTACATCAGGCCGTTGAACATAATGATCAAGAATGTTTGATTGAAAAATATCTGTAGATTCAGATGAAATTCTTTCCAGTTCAGTTCTTGATTTTAACATTCGAACTCTTTTTTCAGGAACATAGGTATTAATGTAAACCTCCAAACTACTGCACTGAGATAAATGCATACCCAAAATATTATAAGAAGCTTCTTGAGCTGAAACTTCTGATGCGGAAATGAATTTATTTCCGATATGTTGAAGTCTTTGCTTTATTGACAAATTTCCAGCTCTAATTTCTTCCATAACTTCTTGTAATATCCTGGATACTCCCCGGTTAGATTTATTAATATAGTTAACTATATAACTAACACATGCATATGCATCCATGACGAATTGAATATCCATATTTGCCCTTTGCATCGATAAGATTTTGGAATTGAATGCATTTATATGTCTATCTTTAAAGGATCTCTTCAAAAATATTTTTGGCTGTTTTAATGATGATCTTAATGCCAATATATAGTCCTCGTGTGATATATTTATTCTTTCATCAGATAAAAATCTTTCAAGTGAATTCAATTCCTCTTCTTCCAAACAGGTTAACTTTGCATTCAGCAAATCTTGAATATTTTCAAAATTGTTTATATGTCTTCTAGTTTCGTCTGGACTTATATCTTCAGGAAGTGGTAGCAAAATTTCGGTATTCAGTAGTGGTGGATGTGGTATTCCAAATCTGCAGAATTTTTTACCACGAATTTCTCGTTGACAGGATCTGCTGTGATTGTGCTGTTGATAAGTAATATAGTCTTTTACGTCGTCAATAGTAGAGTCCGTACAAATGAACCTATCAATAAAATTGATTACTGCTGGAAAGGAATTCTGATCGGATATATTTAATTGAGGAGAGTTTTCAATCCAATATATTCCATGCACATGGGGTGAACCTCTTTGCTGGAATTCTATCCTCCAATAAAATTTAATAACTTTATATTCGTCGAAAACTCCACCGTTAACTTTGAAATGTTTAAACAGATGACGAATCCGTTGATCAAAGTATCGAGAACAGGTAATAGGATCCAAACGAATTAAGTTATACTTTTGTTGGGTGGTGTAATTTATTGCCTCTTCTTCTGAAATAGTTTTATTTTCAACTATTTTGGCTAAAATTACCAAGAGTTCGGGCCACTGAGATTCTGCGGCTGACAATGTTATAAAGAAAGTGGGCAAACCAAATTGTCTAATCATTGCCAAGACTTTCTTTTTCTCTCCTTCCCAATGTGCTGGTGATGACCGAATTCCTTTAAGAATATGATAGCCTTCATCATGTTGTATTAAATTTTGAACAAAGTTGTCATCTAAAACGTCTCTTGCCGTGTAACTACTATGTCCAATTTTTTTTCTTAGACAAGTAGAAATATTGCTCTTTAGTTTGGATAACTCTAATTTTTTATATGAGTACAATACTTTGTCCACACGAGCACATCGTCTGTCATAACGTCTAGCTTCTGACCTTATAACTTTTCCAATTGTGGCGGTACAAGTTCGTTTTACACCACAATATATTGAAGGAAATGACAACTCTTCAGAGTCTTTGTCCAAAATCAAATCCAAAGGGCGTTGGCCTTCTCCTGGAGCTATTGCAATCCTACTGAGTGGCATATTTTCTATTGGGTCGTTGTCAATTAGAGTCTCTTGAGGGTTTAGCTCAGTAACATCGTCTGCGTCGAAATTATCTTGAATTAATCGTTGAACTAATTCTTGGTCTCCTGTGTTCGAAATAAAAGGAACTTCCTCATTTGGTCCGATACTGTTTAACCATTGCTCTGAAATTGTAACACCATGTGCTCTATATAACTCAGTGTTAACCAAATAACGAGCAGCTGACAAAATTTGACCAGGTCTAATCGTTTCTGTCATAAAGCTGTGATTAAATTCCAGTCTTCTTTTGAGATGTACCTGAATAACTTCCGTCTGATCGAAAGTTCTTGGTAAAACATCAACTGTTCTGTCCAAAGAAATTGGAACGTTAACAACAGCTCCCCTTATAGCACATTGACGATTATATCCCAGTGAAACTATTCTCATAAAAGGTATTCTTGGAGCAACAAAACGTTCTTCTAAAGGAGTTAAATCTTTTAACTCATCGGGAATTTTTGGGAAATGTAAACCTTTAGACAGACATATGGTTGGAACTTTACCGCTATTAGCAACTTTATAACAAGTGTTGCAAAACTTATAAATATTACTATCGGACGGAAATTCTTCGGACAAAAAGAATACCTCGGATAAATTTGAGAATCTTCTTAAAAAAACATCTCGGTTTAATAATTTAATTTGGTTAGGAAACCAAAGACCTCCACAACATACACAGATATCAGTCGGACCATTCTTTATATTTCTATTGAAATCCTGTAGAGTTCTGTCAATATGTCTTTGTGAATCTAATGTTAGATGTTCAATTCTTGATTCTGGTGACATATTTTCTCGCATTTGTATGTTTCTGGCAGCCTGTCGAGCATTTCCCCTTGTACGATTGTCGGTGTTTGTTCTATGTAATCGAACTCTACAATTTCTAAGTCGGTTTAAGTCATGTTCTTGTATTCGAGCTAATTGTCGGGCTTCACGACGCTGTGTAGTATCCCGAGTTTGTTCAATAGTTCTGTAGTCAATGTTAAGTCTAGCTGATCGTCTTCTTGTGGTGTTTGTGTTTTGTTCTAACGTCCGATATACTAAATTAGATCTTCTTATTCTATGGGAAATTGCATCACGTTGACGTTCAGCTTCTCTATACTGAGAATCTTCGCGCCGTTCTGCGTGTTCCCTTGTGTTTCTTACCTGTTCAAGTACTCGTTGTTCAAAGTTTTCTCTCCTTTGTGAATGCTGCAATGCATCACGCGCCCTTTCTCTTTGCCTGTAGTGCTCATCCTCTCGACGTATAGCGTGTTCCAGAGTGTTTCGTTCCTGTTCATTGTGTCTATATTCATTATCCTCTCTTCGTAAAGCATGTTCCAACGTGTTTCTCTCCTGTTCAATGAGCCTATATTCGTTATTCTCTCTTCGTACAGCATGTTCCAATGTGTTTCGCTCCTGTTCAATAATCCTGTATCCCTCATCCTCTCGACGTATAGCGTGCTCCAAAGTGTTTCGTTCCTGTTCGATAAGTCTGTACTCTTCATCCATTCGGCGAACTGTGTGTTGTAATGTATCCCGCTCCCTCTCACTTTGCCTGTATTCCTCATCCATTCGGCGCACTGCGTGTTGTAATGTGTCCCGCTCCCTCTCACTTTGCCTGTACTCCTCATCCATTCGGCGCACTGCGTGTTGTAATGTGTCCCGCTCCCTCTCACTTTGCCTGTACTCCTCATCCATTCGCCTAACTGCGTGTTGTAATGCATCTCGTCTTCTCTCTCCACTGCGTGCAATTGAATTCCATCGTCTTCTTGTAGAATGTGCAATGTTATCTCGCTCCCTTTCAACTTCGCGATACTCCGCATTTTGTCTTCTAGCGGCCAACAGCTGGGAGTTTCGAAGTCTATCAGATTCAAGATTCTGCTCTCGATGCCTCCTTAATGATTGTCTGTTTGATTGACTCCGTTGAAGTGCAGATTGTTTGCGTAGTCTGGGCATATTGATGTTTTTTTTAACTTTTTATATTTTTACAGTAATTAATAATATATTCGAAATAATAATTTTATATTCCAATTAATACACTAATCACTTAAATGTTTTAGTTGTTTTTATATTTTTTCGGTGTTCTATACTGAACGTCTTTCTCCGACTAGGAAAGAATTAATAATGATTAGTTATAAACAATAACTATTCTGTTTTAGAAAGGTACATTGTCGCCAATTTTACCTCCTAAAGTGTAACTGTATAGATAGTGTACCTGCTTAATTAATGTAACATAATATAACAGCATAACAGGTAAAAGGGTTAAGTACCTAAAAAATATTCGGTGCCTGTGCTAAAAATTAAGAAATTTTTATAATGATGTTTACAAAACTCTTTACCTGGTAAAGTTATATAATTTAATTAAATCTTGGAACAATAATTCAAAAAATAACAGGTAAAAGGGTTTAGTAACTGTAAAAAGGTACTAAAAAATTGTGATTTCTGTACCTATAGTGTTATCCAAAAAGTACCACATCTTCCAAATTGTTCGAAAATACCTTTCTGATGCCTTTATTCTAGAAATAAAATGCTGTTTATCTAAATTTATTTGTAAAGAGTCAAAAAGTTAACGCAGAAAATTTGGATATTTTGGCATTTAAAATTTCAAAAATAGAAGGACGGTTAGTTATTGGAATTGCATGTTGTACTCGTATTTTTAAATAGTTTTGAGCATTAAATACATATAAATAAATGTTGTGAATGTCATTTTTTGAATTCAGCTTTATGTCTATGGCCAATTATGACCAGATCCTCATAAAAGTTGGTGGAGGGATTTCGGTATACATAGTATATAAGCCAGTAATGAGCGTTAAAGTTTTTTTTCTATGGGGGTTAGTGTCAATTATGGACCGATCCTTATCAAATTATGTAAATAGATCTCCGTTCAATTAATATTTTCTTATGTCGAATTTCATCGCTGTACTTGTATTTTTAAGCTAGTCATGAGTATTAAAGTACCTTTCTGGAAGGTATTATGTGGGGGATAAAGCTAATTATGGACCGATCCTCATACAATTTCGTAGGGGATTTTCGTTCGCATTAAACTTGTTCATGTGGAATTTCATTGCTGCACTTAAAGATATGTTATATATCGTCACCTAAAACGCAAACGGCCCTATCTAACATTTTTAAAATCTTACAGGAGAAGCAAAAAACTATTTAAATTGAAAAGTTTGTTTCTATCAACGCGATTTATTTGTAGTAAATAAACAAATTGTTTAATATTTATCATTTGTTATGATAATTGACAATGGCGTATATAAAAATGGATAAATTGGACTTTTTACCTTTAATATTTAAATGTTTTTGTAGATAGGGCCTTTTGTTTTCTGTCAATAAAATCGATAATTATGGTCAGAGGAGTCCAATTTGTGGTGTGGACATTTGTTTTGATGCAATACATTAGAATCACCAATAAAATCGATTTTGAATTTTTGGTTAGTTAGGGCCGTTTGCATTTCAGGTGACGATATGGGGGTTAGGTCCAATTATGGACCGATCCTTATAAAATTTTCTAAATGGATGTTGGTTCCTATTAAAATCGTTTATGCCGAATTTTATCACTGTACCTATATTTTAAGCCAGTAATGATCGTTTAAGTAATTTTTCGAAGGGCACCTTATATGGAGAGTAGGGTCAATTATGGACCGATCCACGTAAAGTTTGATAGAGAGATTTTGGCTTCATTGAAACTTATGTGTGTCGAATTTCATTACTATATTCGTATTTTTAAGCCAGTAATGAGCATTAAAGTCATATTCTGAAGGGGACCTTATATGGGGAGTAGGGTCAATTATGGACCGATCAATAAAAAATTAGGTAGAAAGATTTTGGATCATACGAAACTTATGTGTGTTAAATTTTATCATTATACTCGTATTTTTAAGCCAGTAATGAGCGTTAAAGCCATTTTCTGAAGGGCACCTTATATGGTGGGTAGGGTCAATTATGGACCGATCAACATAAAATTTGGTAGAGAGGTTTTGGATCATAAGAGACTTACTTATGTCAAATTTCATTGTTATTCTAGTATTTTTAAGCCAGTAATGAGCGTTAAACTAATTTTCTGAAGGGGGCCTTATATGGGGGGTAGAGTCAATTATGGATCGATCCTCATAAAATTTAGTAGGGAGATTTCGGATCATATGAAACTTATTTATGTCGAATTTCATTGCTGTACTCGTACTTTTGAAACAGATATGCCCATTAAAGGTGTTTTTCGGGGGTCCACTTGTATGGGGGCTATCCGAAAACGTGGACCGATATTGCCCATTTTCAATACCAAACAAACCTTACTTATAGAGAATATTTCTGGAAAATTTCAATCCTCTATCTCGTTTCGTTCGTACTCTATCGTGCTTTCAACAGACAGACAGACAGACAGACGGACGGACGGACGGACAGACGGACAGACGGACAGACATGGCTAGATCGTCTTAGAATTTAATAAGGACCCAGAATATATATACTTTTGTGGGTCTATGACAAATATTTCGATGTGTTACAAACGGAATGACAAAATCAATATACCCCCCATCTTTTTTGATGGTGGGTATAAAAATAACTGTAACGAAACAACAACAGGTGGCTCAAAATGAATTTACTACATTTTATTATGGTGTTTATTCTAACTACGTTCACTTTAAAGGACAACTGGTTGTTGATAATTAACTTAAATATTTCAGAATTGAATTAAAAGCTCACTTAATAAATTGCATTTTATTCTTCTCTCTTAATGCTTCTTTCATTTCAATCGTGTTAAAACAATATTGCTGTTATCTACATACATTTATCAATAAAATACATCAACAATATCAAACAATTAAAAAAGAAAAACAAAATAAAACATCCTTACAACATGTTCTTCTAATGGTTCGAACTTTGAACTTTTCCACTGCAACTACTAATGCAATTCTGGAGATAAAACATAGAAAATAATTTTAAAGAAAACATGATATAAATACATATGCATGTATATATGTATGTGCCTTGCGGCCACATGGGAGACCGGAAGAACCAACAACAAAAACACAAAAAACGTGAGATGCGTGAGATGGATTAGAAAGACTGTGAAACATGTTACACACATACATATGTTGAACAAATAACAAATGCAGTTTTATCAATGACATATACATCGCTCATTTACTACAAGACTGTTATAAGCCAAAATTCAGGTTTTTTCTTGTAGTAAATGACCAAATTTAGAAACAAGTAAAAAACTATAGTCGTCCGTAACTGGCCATATGATACCCTACACCAGTTATGAGAATATCTAAAATGTGTATTATTTTAAATAATAAAGCATTTATGTTGAATTTTCCTTAATTTCGATATATTTTTGATGAAAAAAAATATTTTCTGATGGAGGAAATATACGGGAGATAGAGTCAGTTATGAACTGATCATAACAAAATTTGGTGGAAGGATATTTTGTTGACATTAAAGTTAATTATACCGAATTTCATTAAAATACAGAGGGAGACCTACAAGGGCGCTAGGGCTAAATAAGGGCCGCTCATTACGAAATTTTGCAGTATTATTTATGCTTGTATAAAACGTAGTTGTGCCTATTTTTGTAGGGATATAAGGATAGTTGGCATAATTATGAGCTCCAAATGCCAATTTAGGGGGTCCGGTTATATGGGGGAAATAATCGACCGATATCAACCAAAATCAATAGGGTTCGTCCTTGGGTCAAAAGTGATGTGTGTAACAAATTTTCTCCAATTATCTTCAAAATTGCAACTTGTAGTTTGATTACAAGGTTTACGTGGACAAACAGACAGACGGACATGGCTTAATCGACTCAGAAAATGATTCTGAGCCTATTGATATAGAGCAATATTTAAAATTACAACAACAAACAACGTAAACTAGACCGACACAAGAAAATTATTATTTCTTACAGATGATGGTACATGTAAGTCAATTGATGTTAATATATGTATATATGGTAATGCTTATGACCTAAATACAAAAATTTTTAAGCCAATTGTTTCAAATATATTTTTAAAATAACTAAATAATTTCATTAAATTCACATTTCTTTCATTCAGTGTTTAGACTTTTTAATTGTATTGATATAGTATTAATTGAATATTCTTCAGGCTCGAGTTCGAGTCCCACTTGGGGATAAGTTATTTTCCAAATTGTAATCATATTTTTAACTATAAGAATACTGAAAATTAAATTTTTCGGACACACCAGCAGAATGGCCCGCTATGGGTCCTCATCAGCAATTTTATTGTGCCATATGCTATGTCACTTGTAAACATCATCTATTTAACTCACAAGTTTTGAAGAATTTCATTCCACTTTATTGAGTTAGATTGAAGCTTTTTATACGCTCCACCACCATCAGTGGTGATAGAAGGTATATATAACTTTGTCATTCCGTGTGTAACACCAAGACCCAACAAAGTATATATATTCTGGATCCTTATCAAATTCTGAGTCTGCCTAAAACACGCTCACGTTAAAACTAAGCAAAGGAAGTAAACCAAATT